TTTTTTTTTTTTTAAACATTTATTTATTTTTGAGAGACAGAGTGAGGCAGAGTGTGAGTGCAGGAGGGGCAGAGGGAGGTGGCGCACAGAATCCGAAGCAGGCTCCAGGCTCTGAGCTGTCAGCACAGAGTCCAATGTGGGGCTCAAACCCACAGACCATGAGACTGTGACCTGAGCCGGAGTCAGACGCTAAACCAACTGAGCCACCCCGGCGCCCCTCCCACAGAATCACTTTCAATTCCTGTGTATCGTTTCACCTCTCAATTGCCTCCTTCTTAATAGCATGCAAAGTTTTCTATGTCTTAACTTTTAAAAAACATATTATCTTTTGACTTCCTGCTATGGGAGAAGATTTATGTCTCTATTACTACCCCCATCCCAGTCCCAACTTCCCCTCCCAAGTACATCACCTTCCTCAGCCCTCATCTTTACCACGTTTTCCAACATTCGCTGTGGCAAGGGAGGGGCTCCTGGGGTCCTACAGGTCCTCATTTAGACTTTCAATTCATCATCATCTTTTCAACCCCAGCTCTGGATGCACCAGGTGCCTCCAATTCCAGAATGGCACTGGGACTGCTTCAACTGGCACCTCACTACATCTTGCAAATGAGCTTTGGCTTTTTCTGCTCTACTTTTCAGCTCCCGAAATTCTGCCGATTTCTTTTCTTTGCGGCAATTGCTGGCCTGTTTTTTTTTTTTTTGCTCTTCCTGGCTTATGGCTTTAATTTTTTTTTTTTTCCTTTATCATCTTTTCGATGGGATTTGGGGAGGGGGGACTGGAGGTAAGCAAATGAAAATTTTTTCAAGGAACAATGCTTAACCAGGACTTAACATTTTCAAACAAAAATGTTACCAGAATTCTGTTATTTGTTCCTTACAGTAATTCCCAAAGGTAGGCAGAAAAATAAGGTATTATCTGATGAGTGAATGAATTGAGTGCAGATTATGCTCCTTGAACAGATGAGGGAACAAGATCAGAAACTCCGTTTAACTTATCAAGAACTAAATGGCTCATTAGTAGCAAAAGAAAGACTAAAGTTTAGGCTTTTTTTGTATCTAGTGTCTCTTGCAAGTTGCATCCAAAACAGGCAGTTAAGATTAAGGATAACTCGTCAGTAGTTCATCACACTCAAGTATAAACGCCACATCCAGAAATATAGCACCCACTGACACTCAAAAGTTCTAACAGAGCAGGGCGCCTGGGTGGCGCAGTCGGTTAAGC